AATTCTTCTTGGCCTTTTGGATAAGATTTTTTTTCTCTGAGTCCAGAACCCAGAATAGTCCTTTTTACTCTGTTTTGCCATGTTTATTGTGAGTGGAAGTGTTTCTTCAAGACCTATTTCGCATAGAGGTGGTGACTACGGCAGTTCCGTATGTTTTCTACTGTGCCTTTTTTCCGGAAACTGTAGTATGGCCCTCAGCCTCCCGAGCCCTGTGTTTTCTCATCGGAGAACTGTCCCACTAGTGGTTGACAATAATATGGAAATCGATTGATTGTAGCTGGCGAAATCTCTACCCGAATTCATGGAAAGAATAACTGGGATTGTCCCCCATTGTCCCCCAGTTTGGGGGAAAACACTTCGATATTACCCTGTCATCTGCCGAAGCAGCAGCAGAACCTGCTTAGAGTGGGTTTGACTACGGCAAGGAACATGAACCTCTTTGCTTGGTAGGCCAACACACCGTCTATGTGTACGTGTTTGTAACTGTCGAGTTCCCCAATGAAGACCTGATTTCCTTCCTACAAAATTATGGGACTTTTCAAACCACTGATATTCGACGATTGCACTACCCCTAGGAGGGCTATAGAGACATTGAAGACAGCATTCATGTTGCTTAATTCACCAAGATCGAAAGAGACATTCAGAAATGCCACGTGGTGGCCAGCATCAAAATTGGCTTTAAGTATTCTGGACAGCCCAGCACGTGCTACCGTTGTCAATCAACGGAGCACATCGTCAAAGACTACCCTAAAAGGCGCCAACCACCCACTCCCCCTCCGCCCACAAACGATGAGAATCCAGGCCTTCCAGCCGATTCACCCGAGGCCAACATTTAGGCCGAACAGATTGGTGACTGGAGCTCTACAGCCCCCGGTCTATTCCCAGACAAAGAACCGCAAACTGCCTCCTTAACCCGTAAACGGGGCGCTGGTGCTCCGTCGAAAAGCGATGACGAAAGTGTCCCAGCTAAACACTCCACAACATCTGCTTTGCTGACAGCCACTGACAGCATGGGAGATGACTCTCCCACCCAACCTACCCCCCCAGAAACACCGTCTCCAACTCCCCCTGGACAGGGGCTTACAAATTTCGCTTCCAGGCCCGGGGAAACATCACTCGACGTTTATGTCCCACGCACCGGGCCCTTTCTTCTTCAAATGCCAAGGGCATTATATCTACGACAAATTTGGAGCCTATAATCAGCAAAAAGGTCCACAACTGAAAGCGCAATCAACAGCACAAGAACAATGGCACAAACTCAGTTTTAACTCTGCATTCCTGAAGGTAGCTGATCATCGTGCCTTGCTTACCCAGAAGCAAGTGTCTTGTCTATGGATGACTGGCCAAACAAAGAAAGACATTTGTCAGTGTGATTACCTCTTTGAAAAAGTGAGTATATCATCCCATGACGAAGACTGGCTTGTGTTTAAATCTAAATGAAATCGTGTGACGAACTTAGTAAAGTGGGCAAAACAAACATACAACAAGAAGTTAATTGAAAACAATAAAGATGACACCAAAGCCTTCTGGAGAACTTTGAAGAAGATCATTCCGAGAAGAAAAGCCATGGTGGTTTCAAATATATCAGCATTGACAGTGTGCTTTGTAGTGAAGCCAGTAATGGAAAGAAAATTGCTAATGGTTTCAAGCCGCTGTATGCCTTAGGCAGGCTCTCGGTAGTGGTTCTTTTTAAAAAAGAGGCGTTGATTCAAGAGTTAATGGATCAATACCCAATTTTAAATTTGATTTGGTAACTGAGTTGTCAATTGTTAAGATACTTCAAGGTCTTAACCCTTTCACTGCTACAAGGACGTACTCAGTACGTCCTGTCTCAGATTACACATATGCTACAAGGACGTACTCAGTACGTCCTCAAGTATAGCCTTTATATGAAAACTTACGCACATCGTAAAAACAATTAGACCGCATATAACAAGACTTCTAAGGGCCTGGTAACGAAGAATACATTTGGTG